AAAAAAAAAAAAAAAAAAAAAATAAAAATCTGAATCTGAAAATTGCATCTTCCTGTATAAATACCCTAAATACCCCTACCTATGCGTAGCAGGGGGTTGAAATTACCTCGTTTCGCGACAACTCGTTGCCGTATTCCTCCGAGTCCATTCCGAAGAATCGAATGCTTATTAAGAGAAATTGATCGGATCGTTCCTAGAACAGTTTATCCAAGAAGGTGGCAAAGGGTACTGTCGATCTATCTTCTTCGAGGAACTTTTCTCGAAGGCATATATCACACGCAAACTGTCGAACTCGTTTGTCGTCGGATAAGATGTGGATCGGTCACAGACAGTCGTTATTAATGTTAATTTTATCCATTTATTAAGTATTCAGGTGTTCCAACAGGGGCTCTCAATTTAAGGAAGGCATCGAATGATCATTTGTCCAATGATTTTTCTGTCGAATGACCCTTACGCGATGTCTCCTGAAACTGAAATAAAAATTTGCTGAGCTGAAATTGTACGAATTATTAATTTTTCCTTTTCCGTATTTCCTTTTTTTTTTGTAACTTTATAGATATTAATTAATCTTTCGTGCATGGAAAATTAAAGAAAATATATAAATAGTTATTTTATTTAGTTGGATGATATCGTTATTCGAAGATTACGATCAATGTTGTGAAACTTGTACGAATTTCATTTTTTTGTAAAATAGAGGCAATCGATGCAAATATTTAAAAGAAAATTTTGTTTTTATACCAAATAATAAAAGTATTGAAAATTCTACGATAAATGTTTAAGATATTCGTTGTAATGTTTGTTTCAATGTGTAATTAAGTAAATATTCTTATCAATCGATATTTGGGGATAATTAAACATAATATTAATACCTCGAAATTCGATGATTAAGATATAGTTAATAGAAGTTTTGAATTCTTGGAAAATTCGTAAGTGGATAAATAAAGTTTCTATTTCTATTTTTTTATTTTATTCAAGAAGGTTTTAATTCTTCGAATTTTTTCATATACGATTGAATTCCAAATAATATATTATTTTATTTTATCTAAAATAATTCATATATTTGGAAAAAATTATTTTTAATCGATATAAACTTTTCTTTTACATTTTGACAAATAAAATTATCGAGTAAATTTTTTCATGTATAATAAACACTCGTAACTTTCATACTTACTTTAATTTATTTTGTATATAAAGATTGTGATATTATGAATATCATCATTTACTCAATTTTTACTCAACAAACATTCTTGTCAAATTTTTCCTGTCAAATTGAATGAGAATCTCTGGGATG